GTTGGGTCGGGTGGGAGGCTAAGAGGGTGAGGTTCTGAGGCTCCTGCTGTGGTTCCCGTGGGGGCTCTAAACGTGGCGGCGACGCTGCTGCTGGTGCTGGTGATGATCGTGCATGTCCTCCATGGTGACCCTGCCCCACACGCCGATCACGAAGGTCTCGATCTCGCATTCGTTGTCGCCGCGGGCGATTCTGAAGTAACCGTCCTCGCCCCAGTTCTTGCCCCAGGAGTTGGCGGCGACCTTTGACACCCCCAAAAATAAATAAATAAATAAATGATCTCACGTTGAGGATACGCTGCGCCATGTGTTTGAAGAGGACAGGAAGCGCATGTTCTTCATCTTACCCAGTACTTCCTGGGAGCGCCGTTTGAGTCCCATTGTTCACCCCACCTGAAGAAAGCAGAGAATATGGTCTTGGAATTTTTACGCTACTTAAATTACATTCATTAAAAGAAAAGAAAATTTTTAAAAAAGTGGAATGAGAATGACTATCCAACTCTGAAGTCTTTATCTGCTTCCGATTGGTCCCAATGGTTGCTTCATTCTCAAACGTCTCACTTCCTGTTCAATTTCCGTGAAGTGTCCTTAAGACAGGCGCGCTGTCATGTTAGAAATGCCCACCCAACTTCTTGTCAATCATCGAACTAATGCAAGCATGCAGAATTCCAAGATGGTAATAGACACAAAAATGGCCATTTAGAACAAAAAATTGCAGCTTCTACACTACAGACATTTATTTTTGTGGGTCTTTTTTTGTGGGTCCACTCGTGACAGAATTGCCCACCAAATTTGCTCACCAGTGACGATACAATTAGAAGGCTGGACTGAAACAGAAAGACAAGGCAGAGAGAGAGAGAGAGAGAGAGAGAGAGAGAGAGAGAGAGAGAGAGAGAGAGCTAGCAAGCTAGCTAGCTTCACTAAATTGAAAAAGTTAGCTTGCTAAAGAACATTCCTGCACTCAAGTACAACATAATTTCTGAGAGAGAGAGAGCTAGCTAGCTAGCTAGCTTCGCTAAATTGAAAAAGCTGGCTAAAGAACATTCCTGCACTCAAGTACATCATTTCTGAGAGAGAGAGAGAGAGAGAGAGAGAGAGAGAGAGAGAGAGAGAGAGAGAGAGAGCTAGCTTGCTACGCTAAATTGAAAAAGTTAGCTTGCTAAAGAACATTCCTGCACTCAAGTACAACATAATTTCTGAGAGGACTGAAAAAGAAAGACAAGTCAGAGAGAGAGAGAGAGAGAGAGAGAGAGAGAGAGAGAGAGATCGTAGTAAGAAATGCGACTGAGTTAATGGAATTTTAAAAATCCCAGCATTACTCATCTCAACAGGAAGCACTTGACAACAACATCCTCCAAAAGGGAAGATTTATAGACAACTTTCTGTCATCGGATCTTCAAAAAAAACCCAAATAGCTCTATTCCCCTCTCCTGATTTACAACGGCAAGTAGAGGACAGGTTGCGAGGAAGCTGATGCTGGGTTGAGCCCAAAAATATTTCAAAAAAAGCAAGCAAAGAAAAAAAAAAAAGCCCTTCCTCACCTGTCCCCGTCTTCGTTGCCAATGTTTATGCACTCGGGATATCTTGGCAAGGCGCCGTCATAATTCCCACCGTGTCTCGCTACTGCCAACTTGTGCAAAACATCGACCCTCCCTGAGCCCATTCCCATCCTGTTTTTCGCAAGCCGGAACTTTCTGTTTTCCCCCTGAGAAACTCCCGGTAGCCGATGCCGTTTTATCTTTTATCCGAAGAGGAGGGAAAGGAATTCTCGGAACCGGACGGATTCGGACATCGTCGCCTGTCAGTCAGGACCTTCGGATTTTTTCATCGACAATATTTCGAGCAGCTGCGCGAACAACGCGAGCCGGCAAATTATGGGATCTGGACGCAGAAACTGTTCCCCAAAAGTCGTCGATTTAGTGTAAAGAAGAAATTTGAGGAACGTTTCTCACAATCCCAAAGGAAATGTTCTGCCATGTTTAATCCGTTGGGCTGTGTTATCGTCCGTTTGGAAAACGCTGGATGCCGAATCAGCTCGCTTCAAAAAACTCGACCCTCTTGGCCCAATCCTGACCTCCCCCCCCCCCCCCGATCTTCTGCCCGGTGCGCTCGGGATCAGCACCCCAGACAATGCCCTTTCCACCACAGTGAAGCTCAATGCTTGTTCCGCAAACTTTCCCAGGCTGCCGGCTTAAAGGGACGCGTACCGTTATCAAAACACTCCCGACGCCCACGGGCTGGGCGACTCGGGTTCCCCCGAAACGACCGTCTCTGGTCCCTGCCGCATTCACGTTGTCGCGTTCGACGCTGTGCACGCTTACTCGTGTTTTTAGCCTCAACGCTATAATCGGGACATGATTTAAAACAGGGGTGTCAAACTCATTTTTGTTGCGGGCTACATTACTTATTACCTCTGAAAATTTGAAATTTTGGGACAGATTTTAGCAAGCATTGTGGAAGTTGTCATTTTTGATGTGCTTTTGCGGACCACTTAAAATGATGTGGCGGGCCACATCTGGCCCGCGGGGCCTTGAGTTTGACACCTGTGATTTGAAGGTTCATCATGTCTGTGTGTGAAACGGGAATGACACGCTAAGCTAATGGGTGCCGCGCTGAAAAAAAAAATGGCGTGTTGAATTGACTCCGTTTTATTTTGTCAAATAATAAAATCAAATCATCTGGCCTGGACATCGACTTATAAAAAAAAATGATCTGGATCGAAATTATTTTATTTTGTGCAACCACATGACAAAATAAAATGGCGTCAATTCACACAAAAACTTCAGATGTTTTTTTTGTTCTTATTCCGGGAATGATTTTCTTCAGGCATCTGATTGGCTAAATTGACCGGATGGGCTTGAGCACCACCTGTTGCTTTGGCATGTGCTTGACCACCTGAGAATGCATTTTTTTTTTTTTAACGGCTTAGGAGTGTGCACATTCCTTTGCCTCATTAAAAGGACCCATTAGGAAGAAGCCACTCAATTTTCCTAATTTGGTAAGTAACGTGTCATTGACGCCAGACGGATGAGTGAAATATTTCACGAGGAAAAGTGGCAGTACTGACATTTTACAAGTCGAAACCTCCCGCACGCATTCCATGAAAAAGAGACCCCGAAGCGGCTGATTGTCTGGAGATAGTCTCGACGTTTTCGACTGTGTTTTGTCTCGGATGCGGTGAGGGGAAAAAGAAAAAAAAAAAAAAAAAAGCATTCCTGAGTGGCAGACGTTCGTCCGCCCAGTGATGACGGAAACGCGAGTCAGGTAAGCCAGGTGTGGCAGACGTCTACAGAGTTGCGGTCTACACTCTTACGAGACCATGGGGGAGGGAGACGGGAGCTTGCGGGAGTTGTGGTTGGGTGGGGGTCTTCAACCCGGATTCATATTTCCAGCGCGAGCCGCGTTTACATACCCCGTGATCCTGACCGAGTGCGTGCCGTGCTTGCGGTAGTGCGGCGGCTTGGTGAAGCTGACGTCCGTGTGCTTGTAGATGCCGCTCTTGTACACAAAGAAGTCCTCGTGGACCTCCATGATGGCTGCGACAAATAGTCACATACACTTTATTGTCATTGCTGAAATATACGACAACCGCCTTTGCGAAAAAGTCACATCATTCCAGGGCACATGTTGCTCACCCGTTACCTTTGTGTGACTTTCATACTCTTCCAAAAATAAGAATGTATCACAAATGTCCTCTTTTGGGAATCATTAGACACCGGGGGTCGCCGCCGCCCCGCAAATTATGAAAAAAGTTACACAGACAATCAGCAATTGGACGTACACACAGCACACGGGCGCTTGTTTTCGGAATTCAAAGGAAACTTGTCATGAAGCCAACGCGTCTTCCTGGCCTTTCTGAACAATCAGACAAGAAGTGAAACACACACATGCACGCACGCGCGCACACACACACACACACGCGCGCCTCGCCTAGTGAAGGGAAACTTGACAGTGGTCCAGATGGGCACCAGACTGTGAGGCGAGCACAGTTACGGAAGCTGACCGGGGTCAAAGCCGGACAAGAAAAACCCTCCTGCGGCACGTGAGACCCGATGACATCATGCTACCCCCCCCCACCCAAAAAAAGTGTACATTTGGATGAATTTGTGTGATTATTATTATTTTTTTTGCACCACATAAATCACAAAATGGTTTAGGTCCCGAGTATAAGAAGAAATATTAATTTATCCCCCCCCCCCACAAAAAAAGTGCACATTTGGATGAATTTGTGTGATTATTATTTTTTTTGGACCACATATATCACAAAATGCTTTAGGTCCCGAGTATAAGAAGAAATATTAATTTGAATGAAATGCCAGAGGGGCAAGTAAACATGGTGAAGCAGCATTTAGCTGTGATGCTGCACGCAAATGGAAAAAGCTGTGAAGTCAGCCCCAGAGTGTAAATGCTTTTAAATCCAGGTTAATCCCACCCAGTACCTAAGAATCTTTTAAAGCATTTGTAAAATCAATATTGACATGCAATTTTTAAATTACAATATTTACAATGTGCACAATAAATGAATATATAATAAATATATTTGCGGCTAAAATTGCTCTCGTGACGCCGAACTAGTGTTAGCATTCGTAATTTTGCTCACTCCGGCCAGATGACCGCCAACTGCAAAGTAGTCACATGACATCCAGTTGGAGGAGGCTTAGTACAATACCTTTGCATTTCATCTTTAACTTTTATGAAAAAAAAAAAACATTTTCATTGATTTAAAAAAAAAAAAAATTACCGTCCTATTTTTTAATGCGCACTTAAACCTAACACGCTACTGTTATGTGAATAGTAACTGTTCACTTTATATTTGTCTTAAATATCTCCCAATGGACACATGGACAAATAAATGAGAATACATGACTTTACCTTGCACGGGGCCATTATCCATAATCTCCTTCATAATCTCCTTTTCCTACAAGAGACAACATAAATGGAGAGATCGTTACATCCCTCGAGTGCACTAAAAGTCGAAAAACAAGATTGATCGTCGCACCCCTTCCGCCCCCCTCCATGTCCTTAATGCCTGATTTATTGACTTCACAGGCGAGCTCGGATGACTGAAGGAGGCATCAGCTGTCGTTTAGCATCGCCGGGTCAATGCAAGCCAACATAAGGTGATGCTTTGCCCAAATAAGGAAGCCAAGGGCCCTACTTTTCCACATGATTGGACGCATGATGGATTTGACGCGGCGCTGCGCTTACGTTGGCTGAGAGCCTGTAGGGCGGCGTGGACTGGTAGATGTCGTTGTGCTGGTAGTGGTGCGCGTTGGGGCAGCGCTGCGTGGCCTGTCTCTTTCCGCGGCCCACCGAGCGGCTCTGCATCATGCAGCGGGCCACGTCGGCCGCCGTGTGCTGCGGCGGGGTGTATGGGTAGCAGTCTTCTGTCACCACCCTGAAATAACAAAACCCAAAACAGTCATCGACACGTAAAATTTGAACGGAATTCACCTGTTGTAAGAGAACCACACGAGTAGCTAGTTAGCTTAGCTTGCTACACTACTTTAGCATTTTGGCGAGCCAGCTAGCAACAAAGTAGCATTATTTTCTTTACGGATGTGACGGAAATCATTGCTTGACTTGGAGCAAACCAAGTGTGAGTGTGAGTGGAATTTTTGAAAATGATTGAAATGACTAACATAATGTTAGCATTTAGGGTAACGGGCTAACACCAGCATCATGTTACTTAATGGATTAAGCAAGAACATTGATTTCCTTGTAGGTGACAAACATGACTGTCGATTTTGGAAAGATTCAATGACTATGCATATGACTGCATAGCTTTATTTTCAAAAAATGATTCATCGGCTTAGTTCTTGAAAAAAGGTTCTCCCCAAAAAAAGGTACAAACTAAGTTCTGTGATGCAACTGGCCAGTGTAGGCATTATTTGGAGGGGCATGGCTCAGAAACATACCCTCTGCGGCGGAGATACCACCAGGCTCCATCCACGCGGCCCCCGGCGCAGCCGCCCTGGTTCCTGGTGTCGCAGGAAATGAGGTTCTGCGGAGACAGCTGAGGCGTCATGTGACCCATGGACTGGATGGAGATTCGGTCTGATGCCACGGCTAAAAGAAAGAAAGAAAAAGAAAATCAAGAGAAAATATTTTGAGGTCTCTAACTCCTTTCTGAGGGAAACTGTGTGTGGGGTGGGGGGGGTATTAGTCTTGTTGTAGCTTACCCGCTGTTGAGAAGGCCCAGGAGGCGGCACAGTTGCCCTGGTCCAGAGGTTCGTGGATCTTGCCAGGCCACTTGTCAGCCGAGTTGAAACTGGCGGGCAAGACGTCGCCTTCGGGATCCATGTTCATCTGAGACAAGGAAAGACGAATCTTCTCCATCACCTCAAGAATTTATCACGACGAACAACGTGACAACCTGAAAGCTAATGCCGTCGTCCGCATAGTCATTTGAATTTATCAAAACATAACAACCACACCTTCGACTATCTCAGTCCACCTATATAAGTTGTCTTAGTCGTGAAATCACGCGGTTGTTTCGCTCATGAACCAAAACGCCAAGTGGTAACATGAGCATGTGAATTGGGTTGGGTTGAGTGGTCTTTCGCAAACGCTTTTGATCGCGACACAGGTGCAGGTAGCGACACGCTGACAACGACAAAAACGTGAGGAGGAGGCGTTGTGATGATTTGCAGGCGGAAGAAGGTGGAATGGAATGCTGTGGGGCGGGGAGGGGGTTGGATAAGGGGGATGGTGGGGGTGCGCTGGAGCAAAGTCGCGGACTATCCCTTCCATGTTTTACTTGGGGGTCTTATGTAATGCACCGGGCCAGAGTGCACACAATGCATACCGACCCGCCAGCATGATGAGCACACGGGACGTTTTGATCTCTGGGCCCCAGTTACGAAGACAAAACAAAATCCACCGACGTGACGTACATACGCCCTTGAGAATCTCGCATCACCTGGATCTCGTTCATGTTCATGGTGGTTTTGGAAGGTCTCTGCGTGCCCAGTCGGTAGCGGATGCCCTCGTCCAGCGTCATGCCGTATAACTGGGTGTAGTTAGCGGCCCTCCACCTGGTTAGAGCCACATCATTCGGTCCCATCATGTACGACATAACCGTATTAACCAAGCCGTGATATATTTTACATTGAAAAAAAAATATCACAGCACACCATCCCCCCAAAAATGGCACCAAAAGTACCAGATACTGAAAAAAATGACAATCTTTGCATCTGTTTTACCCATAATTCCCTCTGTTGACAGCCTGGATCATGTTGCTGTCCATCAGACAGGCGTTCTGTTCGCACTCCCAACGTCCAGTGGTGCCACATGTGCTACAAAGGATACAAAACAAAATGAGAAAAGAGAAGAAAAAAAAGTTTGCCTTACTGCTCGGCAAAGATCGCAAAGCTGAAGTCAATAGAAAACTTGGCTTATAGCCGTCAAGGCTGTCTGCATAAAAATAAACAGGACGACGTTACGGACATGAATTTTTCTCTTTCAACCGAGTCGCTTTTCTGCATTAATTATCATATACATATGTAGAAATATAAAACAGGAAAATGGCAGAAACTGCCCAATCTTCAAGGATTTATTATAAAACGTCGCAACATTTGAATATAGCCAGCTGCGACATTTTAAGCTCGCTCACAGGTGTCGAGATCGATGGCCTTATGTGCATTCGTCTTCTTGACGAAATCATTTGTTGCTAGGCAGAATTCATCACAACTGCTCCCATTGGCCAATGCTAAGACATCAATCCAGTTCATTCGATAACCGCTCTCGAATAAACAGAAAAGCCACGACAGGCATTGGATAGCGTTTGCTAGATGTAAAATAATTCAGTGTAAAACTTTACAACTACCGTTTTAAGGTTCAACACTTGTTGCTAGGCGGAGTTCACAGGGTGCAATCGTAACTGCCCCAATCGGCTGAACTATAATGAAAAATCTGAGCATTTTTCCCCCCCTGGTTTGTCATTTGTTGCTCCGTAGAGTTCACAGGACGGAATAATACATGGAAAAAAATTTGGTTTAAATAAATCGAAATCAGCGCAGGAAGGCCCCGATAAGCACCTGCATGAGCTCAACAGCCGCTAATGAGGAGGGAGGAGCGGACGCCAAGTCTTCCTCCCTGCCTGTTGTGATTCAGGCGGGATGGGAGGATACGCCTTTGGGAAATGATCGCGAGAGCAAGTAGGAGTTGTCGGTTTTTGGCGCGCGTGATAACACGAACAAGGCGCCTTTGTGGTTCGAGAACATACGTGACGTTTTCTGGGTATTTTTAGCATCTGGGCGTCTGTGTTTGCTCGTCTGCCGTTATCCATTAGCTTCTATTCTTACTTCTTTGGATCTTTCCTGTCCAAATTCCCCCAAGCCGCCTTGAGAAGCGTCACAGTTGGGAACGGATCAACAGCAGATAACGTTTATGTTGAAATAAGTGAAGGCTACATTTTTTTTTTTTTTTTAAACATACCACAAGTTGCAGTTGTCCTTGTATGTTTGTCCCGAAAGGAACTTGTTCCCGTTTCTTTCACAGGACCCTGAAAGGAGAGAGACAACCTTCACAGTTGAAATTTGAAATCTTGAGACACAAACTTGCTTTGCTCTCACAATAGTGTGATATGTAAGTATTGTTTTCAGGCAGAGAGGAAGGTTAAGGAGCACTGAGCTCCGGTAATCCAGCGGAGGAATGTGCTGTTCGCTTCTCTTCCGTTTCCCAGTGAGGACTTTGCCGGTTTCTGACTTGCTCTCACTAAAGAACTGATTCCATCGCTAAATGTCTGACTAAAACCGCATCAAACTGGGAAAACCACATATCGACTGCATCAATCCATTAACTAACTAACTAACTAACTAACTAACTAACTAAGTAAATAACTAACTAACTAACTAAATAAATAAATAAATAAGGGTGTGCTGTAGAGAGTTCTTCACTTGCAGGTCAAAGGAGACCATTTTTATCCAAGAGGAGACTAAGGGCAGTCTGCAGCAAATTGAACACTGTGGACAATCAGGGTACGCTGTGGACAGTTCATTTGTGTCACTTTGGCATTTGGTGGCGTTGCGGACTTTTATCTCGGGGGACACTGTGGCAAAACAACTTGAGTGGTGTGGCTAAATGGAGAATGTGGAGTATAGTCATTGAGTGTCCAGCACGTCCAGCTGTGTATCCTCGAAGGGTAAAATCGGGGCTATTTCTTTCTTGGCCATCGTAAGGAGACCAATCTTATTAGAGAAGAGACTGTGGGCAGTTATGAAACTGGGTGTTGCAGCAATGCGGAGACTGTGGAGTACAAATCTGCAGCTTGTGTTTGCGTGCGTGTTGGGAGTAATTTCGAAATATACTGTAGGTCAGAAAAAACATTTTTTTTTCTTGATTGTGGGAAGGAAGAATTCAGGACTCTGGAGGAAAGCGCAGACTGCGGAGTCGCGCAAGTAACCCTTGAAAGCCTGGTTACAAAGTAGTCCTCCTAATCTCCCATCGGAATGTTTGTAACATTCTTTTGTGGGGAATGTCGCTGATTAGGCTTGAAGTTTGAGCGATTGCCTGTCGGAATTCTCGGAATGAGCCGGCGGAGAATTTACGAGGTGCGCAAGGTTTCCTGGTCAGGTGCGAGGGGGTTTCGTAGCGAGGACCCCTCTGAGTTTGTGAAGGCCTGGGGGAGGAGGAGGGTGGGTGGAGTAAGGTTGGCGGTGGCGGAATTCCATCAAGGTAAAGTGAAGGCAGCCGCTTATGTCACATGACACGTTAGTCGCAACTCTGACGGTGACTCGTCAAGAAAATTCTGGGAATTTTCCAGACATGAGTGTTTAGAAAATGATCGACTAGGACGACGGAAGGAGCCTTTCTTACAGCTCCTGTCCTCCAAGCCCCGTGGCCTGTCTGTGCCCCCCCCCCCCCCCCCCCCCCCCCCACACCCTCTCTCCCCCCCCCCCCCCCCCCCCCCCCCCCCCCCCCCCCCCCCCCCCCCTCCCCC